CCCCCCCCCCCCCCCCCCCCCCGGAGAAAAATGGGTCAGGGAAGAGCTCAATAGGTGAGATGACACATTTTTCTAGGAAGAGGAATAGGTATGATTGGCGCAAGTTGCGGTAGCCAGTAGCGGGGCCGGCAAAAGATAATCGTGGTTGCTAAAGATTGCTGGTTGTGGCTCAAATCCCGCGGACGGGTCTGCAAACGGTAAGGCGGCATCAAGATATGGATCCTGTGACAGAGGATGAAATAACGGAGACATATGATTAGACCAAATAGGGTCTGGGGGATGCGGTAGCCCTTGTGCCGGTACGAGTTCCCAGGCATTAGCCCTGGTTATATGCTTTTCTGCCCCAATATAATATTCTCCCTGCCCCAAATTGCGAATTACCGGTCCCAATTGCAATGTGCAAAATCTCCGGTCGGCTGCATGCTGTTGGATGGTTGGTAGTTGACAACAAATAGCCACCAAGTTGCCCAGTTGGAACTTTGGCCACTTCTTGCGGTTGGCCAATTGAGCAAAGCTGTCTTGGGCTTTTGCATTGATCTCTGGTATCCGCTGCAGCTCCTGGTCTATTGGGGGAGGTTCCACTCCAAATTTTTTTGTCCAATTCTAGGATTGCTGGTCGATTGAAGAAGGCTTCGGTGGGTGTTACCCCAATGGCTGAATGCAGCATATTGTTGTATGCCAAAACCAATTGCAGGATTTGTGTACTCCACAATGCCTATTTGCCCTGTACTGACTTGGATTGTATTTGATGTAGCATCCAAATGGCTCTTTTGCAGCAGCCATTCCCTTCTGGGTGAGTTGCCTGGGCAACGTGTTGCTGCACTTCTGCATCATGTAAGAACCACTTAAAAGCTCTTGATCGAAATACCGAATCACTGTCTGAGTGAACAAAATCAAAAAGGCCAAATTGGCGAAACAGTTCCGCCAAAAAGGGGATTACTGTGGTTGAATCTGCGGATTGGACGGGCTTTGCAATCATATATTTGCTATAATGATTGATCGCGATGATAGCATAGTGGTATCCTTCTGTAGTGAGTGGTAGAGGTCTGTAGAAGTTGATGGTTAGTTGCTCTCGGGGGTGTGACAAGACTATTGGCTGCGGCTTTGTTCCCACCTTGGTTGTTGTGATACTGTATCAAAAGCATGTTGTGCAGCACTGGATTCGTTTCCAGACATCTTGCCAAAGGGATGGCCAAAAAAAGCCTTTCCTGAGAGTCTGGTAAATGGTTTTCCAGCCTGCGTGTCCGAGTTCCTGATGGTAGCTGTTGATGATCCGTTCCCGGTCGGCTTTGTCAGGAACTTCTTGTCCCTTGGCGGCGTTGATTGATACTCTACTCAAGGCATCCAGTCCCTTCAAAAATTGGCCTGGTTTGTACACTAATTTGGCCCAAAACGGCACAAGCTTAGTTTGCAAATAAATCAGTCTCATAGTTTTTAATTCCCCCAGCAAAGCTTTGTGATCTGTATAGATGATGAAGTCCCGCAGTTCTAGATAAAGGCGGAATTTTTTTGTCACTGCCCATACTATCGCAAGTAGCTCACGCTCCAAATTAGAATACCGCGATTCCGTGTCACCAAGGGTTCTACTGGCATACTCCACTACTTGCGGGTTACCTTGTTTGTCAATCTGTACAAGGATTGCACCCAATAAGGTGAGTGACGCATCACAGTGGACCTTGGTCGTTCTGCTGGGGTCTATTCTTTCCAGTCTGGCCAAGTCTGCCATGATGTCCTTCAGATGCTGGAAGGCGGAATCCGCTTCTGGGTTCCACATTAGCCTGGTCTGCAGTTTTGCTGGTATGATGAGCCGGAGCGTCTTCTCTGCTGCTGCAAAGTTTGTTGGGAGGTGTGCGCATAAATATGTCGCCATCCCCAGGAATCTTTGTAGCTGATGGGTAGTTGTAGGCTTTGGAAATCTTCTAACTGCATCGAGGTCCTTTTCCAGGGGTCTTGTGCCAGTCTGGTCAATTTTGTGGCCTAGGAAGACAATGCCTCAAGCTAAATAGGTAGATTTGGTTAAATCAACTGCGGCGCCTGCGTTGTCAAGAGCTGTGAAGAATGCATCCAAAATTTTGCAAACCTGTTCAAATGTTTCACCAAATACAATGATATCATCCATATAAGCCAGACATCTTACATACAAATGATCTCGCAAAATGTGATTTACTGCGCACTGGAACACCACCGGACTGTTCTTTAACCCAAACGGCATGACGCAATACTGCATCTGACCTTGCGGGGTCCAACACTTGGTTTTTGGCCAATCGTCAAATGCAATAGGCAGGCGGTGAAATGCGGAATGGAG